CAAGACTCCTAGTGTGGGGAGTGGACAAAATTGTTTGTGGTGAGAGTGGAAGTTCTCAAAGGCCTAGTCTGAGGCCTACTTGAGAAGAGGGCTCAGAGGAGCCTGACTTGATCTCCTTGATCAAGGAGAGAGTCTTTGTCAGTATTCTCTTCTCTCTTCATGCAATCTACTGATGATTTCCATATTTATGGCTCAAATGCTGACCTTTTCCATGACTCCAAACTCGTATATTTGAATAGTCACTTGGATTTTTGCTTGATAGTCTTTAAGCATCTGAAGTTTAACTTCGCCAAAACAAACCCCTTGATTCCTAGCCTGATGCATCCTCTCCCACTATGAACTTGCTCTTGCCCCACTCTTCCTGCCTTAGTGAATGACACAGCCAATCATCAAACTTAATCTGTCCTAAAACCTCAGAAACTTTTCCTGTATCTTCCCAATTCAACCCATCAATACGCTCTCCTGGCTCTACCTCCCTTGGTCTACATCTCACCAGCAACAACCAGCTGCTCAGGTACTGAGAATGAAGTAGGTCTAGATTCCTGAAAAGTCCTGCCAGGGAGAGCCATATTTGGACTAGGAAGCCTTTATGGAGAGCTTTTTAAAGGGGTGTCTAGCAGTGTCTGTCAGGTACAGCTTAAACTGGTAGTTTGCTTTATATTTACAGTAGTCCCCCGCTTATCTGCAGTTTTGCTTTTTGTGGTTTTAGTTACCTGTGGACAATTCAGGTCTGAAAATATTAAATGGAAAACTCTAGAAATAAACAATTCAGAGTTTTAAAGCTGTGTACTGTTCTAAGTAGTGTGATAAAATCTCTCACCACCCCAATTCATCCCACCTAGGATGTGAATCACCCCTTTGCCTAGCATATCTGTGCTGTAGACACTACATGCCCATTAGTCACTTAGAAACTATCTCAGTTATCAGATTGACTGTTGCAGTATTGCAGTGCTTGTGTTCAAGTCACCCTTATTTTATGTCTATAGAAGTATATTGTTATTAATTTTTCTATGGGCTTATTGCTGTTAGTCTCTTACTGTGCCTAATTTATAAATTAAACTTTATCATAGGTGTGTATGATAGGAAAAAACATAGTGGTATATAGAGTTTGGTAGTATCCACGGTCTCAGGCATCCACTGGGGATCTTGGAATATATCCCCTGCAGATAATGGGGGAATAAAGTACATTTGTTTTATGTTAATAGCTTATCAAGAATTTCACCCTGGTTGGCTGACTGGTAAAGGCAGGATTCAGGCATTCCAGATCCCTGGTAAAAATACCATCTTACAAAAAATTCTGGGTTTATGCTTAACAATCTGCAGGGTAGGTTTAGATTGTGAAGGGCCTTGAGTGTCTGGCTAAGAAGTGAGCATATTGGTTCTTTTAAAACACATCAAGTTCACTGCTTCTGCTTAACAATCTTTAATGGTTCTCCCTATAAATACTGTTAGGCAGAAGTAGTGAACTTATGTTTTAAGAGATGATTCTGACAGTGCTTAACTGAACTAGAATTGAAAAGTCCCCCCATGTCCCATTCTCCGCTGTGTGTCTTGGAGTAAGCACCAGCTTCTATCCTGTTTAGTTTCCTAAATCACTTTTCATTTCACGTCTTTTCCCTTGGGCCCATCTTGCTGGCTGCATAGCGGAGGGAGGGGACAGTCCCATTCTGCTCCAGAAGGCTAGAGGGAAGGCGTTAGATTTGATGACTCCTAAGCATTATTCCAGGTCTGACTCAGTGAAAACAGTCTTCATAGCACTACACTGTAGACTGAATTACAAAAAGCTGGACCTGAAAGGGAATTTAAAGGTGATACTTTCCCTGAGATTACAGGATTCTGATGGTAACTTCTCCCCCAACAGTATAAATCAATAATGGGTGGAGAAAAAGACTTTTTACTCCACTTTGAGTTTATATGGCTTCTAGGGCATTTTTAGATTTCAAATCCTAATAGTTTGAAAAAGGGAACGGGCAAACACATGAACAAGCAGCTCTTCTAACTTCTTGGTATCTTTCTCTTGGTCCCTTTCGCAGCCCCTCTTTCTAAAGCTATGTGTTCCCAGGTGTCTATGTGGGGCCAGCAGCTTTTCACAAGTCACAAACCCTCTCTTCCTTGGGTCATACTCATTCACTTTCAGTTTTAATTATTGTCAATGTGCTTTTCACTTCTGAATCAGTACCAAATCTCTGAATTCCAGCCCTGAATATTCAACCTCATGCTAGTATATGTTACTTGGATGCTCCCCAGGCATCTTAAATTTAACACATCCAAAACAGGACTCATGTTAGAGTCACTTCCTCAGGAAGCAGAAAGGCTGGTGTTATAACGATGATGGAAGCCCTATAATGTTGGGCAAGGAAGTCTGGGTCCTATTGTGTATAGGAAAGTCTGAGATGTATTTTAAGCAGTGCTTCCTACACTTCAGAAAGATGTATCTGGCAGCAAAATAAAAAATTGGAAAGAGTGCAGACTAGGGACAAGAAGCTACAACCAAAAAAGACAACTCCATAAAAAATAAAGATTCAGAATATATATTTCTCCAAAGAAGATATACAAATGGCCAAAGAGTACATGGAAAGATGTTCAACATTATTAGTCCCTAGAGAAATGTAGTTGCCAGGGCCTGGTGGTGAAGGGGAATGAGTGACTGGTAAGGAGTATGCGGTTTCTTTTTGGGTGATTTAAGTGTTCTGGGATTAGATAGTGGTGATCAGTGCTTCACTTTGTGAATACATTAAAAGCCACTGAACTGTACACTTTGAAATGTGAATTTTATGGTATGTGAATTATATCTCAGTAAAACGGGTTTTTTTTTTTTTTTCTTTTTAAAAGTAGACTACTATGGACTGAGTTGAATGCCCTGGATCCCTAATTTCAATTTCTTTATTCATTTAGATCACTTACAATTATATTTGAGATGATTACTTTTTATATTTTCTTGCTATATTAGGGCATGGAATGGTATTTCTAATTTTCAGATACACTAAAGTTGATGTCATAATGAGAAGTTTACTAGTTTAAAGTTAGTTGGTGAATGACTACTGTCAGCTTTAAGTCTGAATTTCAATGTACTCATCTGTAAAATGTAAGCTTTGAATGAACCTGACTCTAAGATTCTTTCAGCTGTTAAGTCTTTTAAATTAGGAATCGTACACGTGTACAGCTGTAACCTTTATGCAGGTGAAGTAGGATAAGAAAAGCAAAGGGTCAGCAAATAGAACAGTGCAAGAGGTATTATGGCCAAAACCAGTGAGCAAGATGGGGGACACATGAAATTATAAACCAAATGCTCCCAGATTTAGTCTTGTTCTTAAATACCAGATTAGATGGTGCTATCTTGGACATCTTTTGCTTGACTTCACATCCTCTAATCCTCACATATCCCTTCAGACCCTGCTGTGATAACAGTTTCCACACAGACTCTGACTGCCTCATAGAAGTGGAATGGCAATGCCTGCGTGCTTGCTGTACTGCTGTGCTTCCTGCCTTTTGGCACAGGACTTCCCCGAGAAAGAGGTATGGGAAACCTGGGGTAACAGTTCAGCACTCAAGCACAAACAGTCCAAAAATGTGGGGGAGTTAATGACCACAGGGCCACCTTCAGCCATGAACAGAAGCCAAATAATAGATGCTTTCCCAATTCTTCATCCCCTGGGAAGTTTTGAGATTATTTTTATATTTTTATGAGACTCCTTAGAATGTCCAGTGGAATGGTTATGCAGGCACCTCAAGTGATAGGCAATCAAGAAATCCTCTTAACCGGCTTTTTCTGCTTCCATGTTAGATCAATTTCAAAAGTAATACCTGCACATACTCTTGTCTCAGGCTCTGCTTTAGAGAAACCTAGGCTAAGACCGTGCCTTCCTAAGAGTTTGCCTCTGATTCAACATACAGGTAAAAGGCTGAATACAGCAAAACTAAGACGCAGAGTTTGATGTTCCACCTCGCCTCTGCTTAAAACTTCATTTGAACTTGGCACTTGAGATCAATAGCTTATCAGATGACAGAACAGGTAACAGGATCACAGCAAGAGTTGGAAGGAAAGTATATGGGATAGCACAGTAAACACCGTGCTCATTTTATACCCATGCAAACAGGTTCACAAACGTGGAATGGCTGGCCTAAGACTGCAGAGCTGAGGGCTGCCCAGTTGCTTATGTCCCAGTGTAGTGAACTTAAGGATGATTATTAATCACTTATTGAATGCTTATTCTGTGTCACGTAGGTGTGGCACAGGGAACCTCTTCTAAGTGGTTCACTTACTCCTCACAGCTAACCTTGGAGAGCAGAATTTACCATACTCATTTTACAGATGAGAACTTCATGGATCAAAGTTCAGTCATTGGCCTAAGGTCACTCAGCCAGGTAGTGGTGGTGCTGAATTTGTGAACAAGAGCCGGAGCTCCTCACCGCTATGCTACATTGCCTAACAAAGGAGGTTCAGGCTATGAAGCACATCTGTGTAAGTGGTAGAATAAGCAAACCGGGGGTTGGGAGAGATAAGGTACTGAGAGTGTGTGTGTGTATATATCTCTCTCTCTCTTTTTTTATTTTTTAAGAGCTGCTTTGTGTAATTTATACGACAAAGAGGTAGGGTTGAAAAGACAATCATTAAGACTGACACAGAGATGGCAACTACATTTTCACAAGCACACACTGTGAACTTTACCTTACTATGTCTTGTCATGACTAGCAGTTATCATTCTGATATTCCAATGTACATGGGAATGAATCCACTTGGCAAATTGATTTCTACTAAAGCTCTTCATTTTTTGTTTTTGAGATGGGGTCATGCTTTGTCAACCAGACTGGAGTATAGTGGCATGATCCTAGCTCACTGCAGCCTTGAACTATTGGGCTCAAAAGAAGCTCTTCATTTTTAATTTAAGCAAATATTGAATAAATTTAATTAAATGTAACAATAGCTATTATAAAAAATGAACTTAAATACAAGTAATCTGATTTATGTTTTATTGCTTACATACGAATTGCACAGTGAATTTTTACATTTCAAAAACTAACTTTATTACATTTAATACAGATATAAGCATGAATAAGACAAATTAGTTCCATTTTCAGACAGGAAGAAAAACATTTTGGATAGGGAGAAGTTAATTGCTGGTAAAGTGTAGTACTATTATTCTAAAGGATAATGAGTTCAGAAATATTAAGGAAGTATGTGGGTGTGTGCGCATAGGTATTCAGGTAAACTCCAATAACAATAAAACTCTGTAAGTGGTCACAGACAACACAAGTACAGGAGGAACATTTAAATGTTAACTGTTTAATGTCATGAAAGAAAGAGTGATATAAGCAACTCAATACAGCAAAAAGAGAATGATTAACAATTTATTGAGTTTTATATATCTACAAAAATATAGCAATACAGTGAACTTCACCAAATCCTAAATGTTCACTACCTGAACTGGCTACAACACCATGTGCACACCTCGTTCCTGCAGAATCTCCTGCAGATATGGGAGAGGCAGCCAGTGAACAGATGCATTTCTTGGGAATCCTTGTCAACAAGACCAGTTCAGAAATCCAGGATATAAAGAAGCCTACTGTAATTTAAAAACAGTAACAAAAACCCCGACAAAACCCAAATCAACAAAGACCAAGATAAAGGTGTGATAAACATTAATTGTAATGGTTTTCCTTTACATGCAATACATGCATTTTAAAATCACTAAGAAACATGAAATTTTGTAGAGCAAAGTTTGTGTTTCACAGAAGTGCAAATGAATATTTTACTTTTTATACTATTAAATTATATATATTTTTCCATACAAAAGCACACAGTGTTAATCTATAAAATGACATCCAAGTGGATGATGATTGTTTTTGCATGTCCCCCTGCTTAGATTTTTTTAAAATATATAGTCAAAAATTAACATCCTTCTTTAAAAATACAGAAGGAAAAAAGGGCAATAAAAAAAATACAACTTGGCTTTACTGACTGGTGTAGCATTTTACCTGATCAAGAGGCAAAGTTCCAGTGACAACTGCCACAGGGCCCTTCAGTCCTCCAGTGGTAACGACTCCACTGTCACTCTGAAACAAATCTTGTTGATCCACATTTAAGCAGCAGCCCAGGATCTTTCAGTGTCATTTCATACGTTTCAATGACTAGACTGGTTTTCAAGATGTTGCGCTTTTCTTTAAATATTCAGAAATTTTCAAGTATGCTTGTCCTATTATCATTTCCTTACTTTTTTCCGTTTCTACTACAGGTGCCCAAATAGCCATAAACACAAACATCCCATTCTTCACTGCAATTTTTTAAACAAAAACAAAAGCCAAAAATTAAACTCTCTTCTAGGCTACAGTTTTTGATATGTATGCTGTTTTATGTAAAAAGAAATGGAATCTGAAAAGATAGAACTATAAACAGGTGACTTTATAAAAATGTCCTAAGAGAATTTTCTGAGTTACAAAGAAAGCTGTTCATTTTACCACGTGATAGAATTCACTAAGATGTGAGTACTGTTATGGGTCTGTCAGTGTATGTGTAGAGTGCACCTGTGATCTTGGTAGCTGAAATCAAAAGCAGCTTAAATTGACGAACTTTAGCACACTTGATTGTTAAAACACAGGCAGCTTTTCAAATATAATATAACTGATTCTAAACAGATGCGTACAAGTCACAGTTCAAATCTTACAAATTAAAAGTCCATCTGGGGAATTTTTTGACTATGAGGATCTAAAACAATGCACAATATACAAATGTAAATAAATGTACTCTTAATGGAAATCAAAATGTACAGACTCTTCACAGGTGAACTAATAGCTGTTTTAAATGTCTTTTTTCTGCACTAAATATATATCTCATTTAATTAATGGAGCCACAGCAAAATACTACTATAATTTCAAAGCACAGCCTGTAAACTAATACATCTTATGATGTAAAAATATTGCACAGTTTGGTACTCCAAGAGTGAGCTCTACACTTCTCAAGCAGAACGGTCAAACTCTTGGCAGGAAACACAGTATTACAAGAACCGGACAATTTAAAGTATGGCGTTTTCAGGGTCATTTTCGAGGAATGCTATTCAACAGATGTCCTATTATTGTGAAGATGAGGAATGCCTATCACATATTATTACAGTAACTGAATAGCAGGGTGCCTATCCCAGCTTATCTAAAGCATGGGGACAAAAAGCCACAGAACAGTTTTACAGCCCCAGGACTAGGAATATATTTAAATGTATCTGCCTTTGCAGAAAACAATAACAAAAATTCTACATCTAAGCGGCCGTGTAGATAAGTTTAAGAGAGAAACAATTTATACAGTTTCAATCCTCTGAAGGCTTACTTTTGAAAAAACATTACATTTGTGAAAAGTTTAAAATATACTACTTAACAGTGGAATAAAGTGAAACCAAAACATGTTCAACTTAAAAGGCAACAGGAACCTCAAAGCAAATTAACATGGCATAAATCTATCTTCGAAAGTACTTGAAATTATATATAGCTCCAAAACTTCTAATATGGTATGCCAAGCATTTGGTTAAAGATATGTTCCATCATTATTTTCAAGAAGCATGTTAATACACATTAGGTAAACCCTGAAAGCTCAGCTTGGCTGTAATTTTTAGGCTTTACAAATCATATGCTGAGGTCTTCATGAGCCAATCAGTACACACACAGATCTGGAAACTTCATCTCATAGACTGGGACAGATTGGTATTGGGCATGCCCAGAAGTAATGGTCAGTGTTCCTGATGGACTGGGAGGAGGACTGTAAAAGAACAAAAGAACATGGTCAGCAGGTGTACTCACAAGCTGTTCGTGTCACCGAGTATTCTGTCTACTATCTGCAAATATCAAAGTCAGACTCCTCAACTGCAGAGATCAATGACATTGTAGTTACTGGCCAACTACAAGGCTGCATGGGAAACAGACCACAGTAGTGTCAAACTGTTTTTAAGTCTAAAGCAGACATTTTCCTTGGAAAATATGTATATACAATTTTAAATGCGATTATACTCTACCCATTCTTGTAAGCTGCCTTGTTTCATTAGTAAAAAATTATTTCATGTATACAGATATTATGTTTTTGATGATAGCATGGTATTTCATTATACAGATATATCATACGTGATTTAATCCAGAGAACAAATGCAGGTTCATTTTCATTTTTTCATCATAATAATGTTAACAAGTCTGTTCTTACACATACATAATTTTATTCTGACTGGTTGTCTCCTTGGTTTATAGTCTTATGAGCAGAATTTCTGCATCGAAGTGTATTCAAAATTTTGACTTTGGTGCATACATATTGCCGGAATACCAGCAATTTACACTTTCAGCTTTTCAGTGTACCTTTTACACTGTTACAAATATTAGATATAGTCAGTCTTTTTAAAACAGCTTTGCCAATCTGAGAGGCAGGAGGTAATTCTTTCTTATTTTCATTTTTAATTTTTGTGTTACTATTAATGGCAAGTATCTTTGTAGGATCCATTTTAGGTTTCTTTGAAAATGTAAACTGCCTCTAATCCTACTCAGATATTTTTCTCTTATCAATTTGGGAAACTAACCTTTTGTCATATGATACAAATGCTTTCCTCTAATTCATTATTTCTCAACTTTTTTTGTTGCCAAATGCTTGAAAACCTTACCAGAAAATCAATTATTTCCTTGTAATTTTTAGTTTTTGAGTTATGCTAAGAACAGCGTTCCCTCTATGTCAAGACTACAAGAAATACTGCTGTATTAATTCTACTGTTTTTATGTATTTTTCTAAACAATGAGTGAAGTTGTCTATTTTGGTAAAAGCAGTGAAGTGGAAATCTTCCCCCAACCCTCCCTCACTGGTCAGTAGTGTTTAGCAGTTGTCCAAACGAGATTAACTCAACAGTTGCTCTTTTCCTTGAAAATCTGAAATCTTATCTTTACCACAGATACCTTCTATGCTTGAATTTTCCTCTCTTCCACTTACCCATATGCAGGTCCAACCTGATGTAAGTACCAAAGATCTGTCATATGTTTTTCTACCAAGCAAGGCAAATGCTCCCTTGTTTCTTTCTACAGCATTTTCCTGACTGCTCTTGCATGTGGATTCTTTCACATTGCCCTTAGCATCATTTGTTCAAATACTTAAAAAAAATTATCTTACTAAAATGATAGCTCAATCTACAGAAAACTGATGTCTATATCAACTTCCTATTCAAGAATAAGATGTTTTCATTTGTATAAATATTCTTAAGCATATTTCAGAGATATATAGTTTCTTCATTTAAGTCTTATATAGTTCTTTGAATTTATTAGTTCATGGTTAAGAATGTTTTCATTTTAATACATGCACAAATATTAATTTCATATAATTATTTTTAACTGTAAATTATCCTCAATTGTTAAGTTATTCAGTTGGTTTTCTTCTATTTTCCTGATATATCTATTTTTGGTAATTAATAATTTTGGAATTGCTCCAGATTTATAATACTCTTAAATTTTTTATTAAGGGATAATTTTCACAGAGTGAAATACACTGATCTTAAGTGTACTGTTTGACAAAAATTGACAAATGTATACACTCATGTAAATCACACCCATGTAAATCATAGTCCAATAGAGATAATGAACACTTTCTTTTTTTTTTGAGATGGAGTTTTACTCTTGCCACCCAGGCTGGATTGCAATGGTGTGATCTTGGCTCACTACAACCTCCTTCTCCCGGGTTCAAGAGATACTGAACACTTTCAATCACCCCGAAAATGTTTCATGTCCCTAACTAGTCAATTTCTCCCCACTCTGACATACCCATACACATACATCCTCATGCAACAACTATGTTCTGATCTCCATCACTGAAGATTAGTGGTGCTTGTTCTTAACCTTCATGTAAATGGTCTATACAGGCTCTATGAACAGTCCAACAAACTGTCTTTTTATGTCAGATTCCTGTTACTTAATATGTTTTTTAGATTTATCCCCAAAATTGTGTTCCTTCTTATTGCTGAATAGTATTTCATTATATTATCATCATTTGTCTGTTCTCGTGATAATGGACATTTGGCAACTATGAATAAAGCTGTCATAAACATTCACATGTCTTTTTGTGAATATACTCAGTTCTGTCATTTTAATGGGCACAAAATCGTATCTTGCTATTTAAATTTGCATTTCCTTGTTAACTAATGATTTTAAACACTTTTACACATGCTTACTGGCGATTCAAACATTCCTTTTGTAAAATGTCTACTGTCTTGGCCATTTTGAAAATTGTCTTTATTTTTCAGTTGTAGGGGTTCTTTATCAGATATCGGTACTGTGTATACTGTATTTTCTCAGTTTGTGGTCTGCCTTTTCATATTCTTACTGGAGTCTTTTAAGGGTAAGTTTTTAATTTACATGAAGACCAATTTACCAATTTTGTTTAGTACTCTGTGTGTCCTAAGAAATCTTTTTGCTCATTTTAAGACTGAAAGGACTCTTTCCTATGTTTTGTTTTAGAAGTTTTGGTTTTAGATTTTACATAGACATTGATTACCCAACTTAATAATTAATGTTTGTGTTCAGTGGAAGGTAGGGATTGAGATTAGTATTTTTCTCTGAGGTTATCTAGTGGTTCCAGGACGTTTGTTTAAAATATTTTCTTTTCCTCATTAAATTGTTTTGATTCCTTTATCAAAAATCACTTAAGTTTTTGATAGGACTCTCTATTCTGTTATCTTGATCTCTTTGTGTACTCTTATATCAATAATGTCTTGACTTCTTTGGCTTTATAAATCAAGTATTGAAATTAGGCAACGTAAATTCTTCAACTTTATTTTTCCTTTTCAAAACAGTTAGCTACTCCAGGTCCTTTGTACTTTCATCTGAATCTTAAAATCAATTTACACGTTTTTACAAAAAAAAAAAAAAGTCTGTTGGGGTTTTGATTGACATTTTATTGAAGCTACAGATCAACTTGAAAGAAACAGCATATAAACAATATTTAATCCTTCAGTCCATGAACATGGTATATCTCTCCTTCATTTAGGTATTCTTTACTTTCTCTCATTCATGTTTTACATTCATAACAGAAATCTTACATACTGTTAAATTATGGCTAAATATTTTTTTAATGCTATGTTTAAAAATTTACTCTTGCAATTGTCTGTTGTTAACATATAGATATACAACTGAATTTTGAATAGTGACCTTGAATACCTTGAATCCTGTGACCTTACTAAAATTCATTTAATTCATGTAATAACTCTAGTAGGGTTTTTTTTTTTTTTGTCTTGATTACTTAAGATTTTCCACATATACAACCATGTCATCTGTGAAAAGATAGTTTCATTTCTTCTTTTCTCATCTTTATATTTTTCCTTTTTTTCACTTTACTTACCTAAGACTTCCAATACAATGTTGACATGGTGAGAGTAGACATCCTTGACCCAGTTTTAGGTGAAAGGCATCAGACTTTCACCATTATATATAACACCAGCAATAGATTTTTTATAATTACTCTTTATCAGATTAAGTTCCCTTCTATTCCAAATTTTCTGGTAATTTTTGTCTTAAATGAACATTGAGCTTTTTCAAATGCTTTTTTTTCTGCTACTGGTGTGATCATGCAACTTTACTCTCTTAATTAATGTGGTGAATTTTGCTGACTGATCAACTTTCTAATGTAAAACTGATCTTGCTTTCCTCATAGTAACCCCATTTATTTAGGCCATATCATCAGTTTTATACATTTGCTAACATTTTGATAAAGATTTCTATGACTATATTGAAGAGGGGTACTTGTCTATAATTTTTAAAAAATTATTATACTTTATGTTCTAGGGTACATGTGCACAACGTGCAGGTTTGTTACATATGTATACATGTGCCATGTTGGTGTGCTGCACCCATTAACTCGTCATTTACATTAGGTATATCTCCTAATGCTATCCCTCCCCTCTCCCCCTTCCCCACAATAGGCCCCAGTGTGTGATGTTCCCCTTCCTGTGTCCAAGTGATCTCATTGTCCAATTCCCACCTATGAGTGAGAACATGCGGTATTTGGTTTTCTGTTCTTGCGATAGTTTGCTGAGGATGATGGTTTCCCGCTGCATCCATGTCCCTACAAAGGACACGAACTCATCCTTTTTTATGGCTGCATAGTATTCCATGGTGTATATGTGCCACATTTTCTTAATCCAGTCTGTCACTGATAGACATTTGGGTTGATTCCAAGTCTTTGCTATTGTGAACAGTGCTGCAATAAACACACGTGTGCATGTGTCTTTATAGCAGCATGATTTATAATCCTTTGGGTATATACTCAGTAATGGGATGGCTGCGTCAAATGGTATTTCTAGTTCTAGATCCTTGAGGAATCACCACACTGTTTTCCACAATGGTTGAACTAGTTTACAGTCCCACCAACAGTGTAAAAGTGTTCCTATTTCTCCACATCCTCTCCAGCACCTGTTGTTTCCTGACTTTTTAATGATTACCATTTTAACTTGTGTGAGATGGTATCTCATTGTGGTTTTATCTTTGTCTCATTTTATGTTGAAGTTATGCTGGCCTCATGAGTTAGAAAATGTTTCTACCTCCTTTGTTTCCTGAATATATATGAAACTGGTATTATTTCTTACCTAAATGTATGATAAAAGTAAGCAGTGAAGTTAAATGCATTTTCTTGTAGGATGCTTTTAAATTTCAAATCTATTTCAACAGTTAGAGGGTTATTTGGATGTTTTACTACTTTTTGTGTCAATTTTAGTTAGTTTTGACTTTCAATGATTTTTGCCCATTTCATCTAAATTGTTGAATTTATTGTCATAAAATTGTTTTATCACATTCCTTTATTATAATTCTTTTTTATTTGTAATATTGGTAATCTATGTTTTCTCTGTTTTTCTTCCTTAACACTGACTAGAGGTTTACCAATTTTATCAACTGTTTCAAAGAACAAACTTTTACGTTTGTTAATATTTCTTGTTGTCTTATTGCCTATTTTTTGTTTCACTGACTTCTGATATACTTAGTTTAGCTTACATTGTTCTTCTCTCTCTAATGTCTTACCAAAAGTCATTAATTCACTACTTTCAGATCTCTCTTCTTTGCAAGCAAAAGCATCTCAAGATATAAAATTGCTCCTGAGCAAGATTTTGGCTTCATCTTACAAAACTTTGATAGGTATTTTCAGTTTAAAATGTTTTCTAATTCCTCCTTTCATTTCTTCTTTAAGATATGGGTGGTCTTTTAATTTCCAGACATTTGAAATTTTTCTAGATATGTGTTAATGAATTACATATTTTTTTGGGGGGCAAGAGAACATACTCAACATGATGTCTTAACATGTCAGTTTCCTGACATTTACTTACATTTGTTATAGTCCCACATTTTTCTATTTTGTGAATGTTGTATGTACACTTCAAAAGAAACTATATTCTGTATTTGCCTAGCATAGTGTTTTCTAAAGGCCACTTAAGTTGACTGAAATGGTTCAAATCTTATATCCTTTCTGCATTTTTGTCTTCTTGTTGGTTATGTTTTAGTACTCTTGTGAGAGGAACATTAAAATTTGCAATTATAATGCAAAGAAACAGGAAAGTATCGTGAGAATAAGCAGTGTCACACACATTTCTTTCCAAACTATATGTATCTTGTCCTTTAAATTCTTTGACATGTGTGTGTGGGGTCTGGTGGGAGGTGTGGGTGTGTGGTGTTCTAAGGGCCTTTTCTACTAATTCTAGTAACTGGGTTATCTGTGAGGCTGCTTATTCTCACTGTATTTTACAGCTTCTTTGCCTTTCTTGTTTTTTTTAACCATACTCAGGTATGGTTAAAATGTAAATGAAAGAACAGTGGGAGCGAAGTATAATATTGTGTGTTCTGTTTCTTTTATGGAGAATACAAACTCTTTCCACTGTCTGATGGTTAGGGTGAGGCAAATTAACAAGAGGAAATGTATCAGACAGGACCTGAAAACTCTGAAGACACATTTCTATAAAGTCTGTTTAGTTTCTCCATAAAACTGTTCCAGAGCTACTGCTTCCTAAATAGGTGACCCTGTATAACTTACCTAACTTCCATGTATCTGTTTATAAACATGTAAAATGAGAATAATCACTATCTGTTTGTTAGGGTCTGTTGCAGATATTAAATAAAATAATACATTTAGCACAGTGCTTAGAACAACACAGGTGCTTAAAAATGTTAATTATTAGTAGTAACTTTTCAATGAATGTAAGTATTAGTAGTAGCTGTGGTACCAATGAAACAGAATTAGTTATAATACTTACTCTAAAATATTAAATTCATATAATTATGTTAGTTTGACTACATGTAATATGGTGATCTCTAGCAACATGCCTTTTAAGAACATCAGTTATGGATTTGAATTTTGACTTTGTCACTCACTAGCCGTATGACCTTCAGCAAGTTATTTTACTTTTCTCTAAGCCTTGGTGTCTTCACCTGAAAAATGAACAAAATAGTGTCTACCTACCTTTCAGGGCTATGGTGAGGATTAGCAGAAATAACAGATATAAACCATGTAGCATAAGATCAAGTACACAGCAGACATTTACTACTAAATGTTGGAAATTTAGTCATCAAAGAAGTAAATGCCCATACCCAGCAATCTTAATTGAATCCTAAGTCTAGCACAATAGTCCCCGACCTTTTTGGCACCAGGGACGAGTTTTGTGGAAGACAATTTCTCCACGGATGGGGACTGGGGGGATGATTTCAGGATGAAACTGTTCTACCTCAGATCATCAGGCATTAGATTCCCATAAGGAATCTAATGGGATCCCCTGCATGAGCAGTAGTTCACAATAGGGTTCCCACTCCTGTAAGAATCTAATGCTGCACTGATCTGACAGGAAGCGGAGCTCAGACAGTAATGTTCGCTTGCTCACCGCTCACCTCCTGCTGTGGAGCTTGGTTCCTAACAGGCCATGGGCCAGTACAGGTCTCTGGACTAAGGGTTGGGGACCCCTTTTCTAGCACATGTTGAATATTTTATTGTGATTTTCTGTTCTTAAATTTTGTAAATGAGTGATTCTCAACTTAGAGAGTGTAGCAGGTATGGCAGGGAAATGTCTAGAGTAAGATATATAATGACAAAAATGTGCCTTGCTTATCAAAGCAGAAAAAAGGCTGAAATAAAAAAGCAAGTTGCCTAGAGCATTTACCTATCTAATATTAATATAATACAGGGTTGAAGCAAAACAGACTTACTTAATCAAGCTAAAAATATAAAAGATATGGCAGATACAGAAAAAATTTCCAGAAGCATAGACATATCTACTGGCCGCCTCTCACAAAAGCAGGTTTCCACACTGCCTCTCCTTCCTTCAGGTGCTACATTTCTTACTAATGTACAGACATAGGATAATCAAAGAGCACAATAATTCACAACAGAACTGAAATGAATATGATGTAAAAAAGCTAAAGGAAAGTTCAATAATTCAAACGAGCTATCTGCATAGGTAGACTTATTACCGCCCTGAAAAGAACCATGAGGCTGACATATTAAAATGCAGTTTCTGCAGGACAAAACGATTCAATATGAGCAATTTCCTAATTAAGCATAATATTAGAATATGGGTCTTTCAAATTACCCAGATGTCCTTATGAGATCATCAGGAAGGAATGAATAATCTAAAAAAGCAGCTAAAAAGCTAGAGGACAACTAGTCAAGAAAGGGTATCAGACTCTGCCTAAAAAACAGAATCACTATTAAGCAAAGGATCACCTATATGATCTTATGTTAATCCTAAATGCAAAGCATTACTTTAACATCATAACTTAAACATAATGAACCACAAATTCATAGGGGTCCGACAGTTTCTATTTGCGTATGTGTGTTATTGCTACTGTGGTAACAAAACCCTTACCGTATGGTGAGTTCCAATATTTGAGCAAGTCTATCATGAAGCAAATTTGCCTGCAAAAAAGAAAAAAATGTTAAGAACGGATTATTTTCTAAGAATCTATATATAATAATAGCAATGTAATTTAAGAGACAAAGTGTAATTGTGACTATTAAGCTGATTAATTAAGTACACAATGCTTTAACATTTTGGTTTGATCTGTGTTACCTATTAGAATTTAATGTAAGGGTTGTCTTTTTCTCCCTTTCCTAGTCTCGATGTTAAAAACAAATCAACAAACACATAAAACAAAATACCTGCAGCAAAATCATGAAAACCACTGAAAAAAACTATCAAAAGAATAACAATCACTAATATTTAATTTGGGAAACCAGTTCCACCATTTCCGTCAGCTTACATCACACAAAGAAATTATTTAGGCCTCATAGATATGCCTTCAGAGTTTTCAGTCCTTATCAGATATATTTTCCTGTGTTCTATTGATCTGACTAAAGGTTGGAACTTATCAACCAATCACTAAGTAAGAGTTTCCACAAAACAACAGCCCACCCACAATCCCTTCACCATTTGTTCACTTACTTTGGATTCACACTGTGCTGCTATTTCTTCAAAAGGTGCTTTCTGAAATTTCTCTATCACAAGACGCCTCTTTTCCTTTTCCTGTTCTTCCATTCCACTGGTATCTATATAAATATTTATAAAGACTCATTAAAGGGAATACATAATTTCACAGAACCCAGTCAATGACCATTAAGAGCTAATGATATATCATCCAAAATTAAAGGCAATTTACGGGGCTACTTTTGCAAGAAAAAAATAAAAAGGCCTAACATCCATGAAATATCTTAAGGCTAGAAAACACATGCACAAAAACAAAACAAAACAAAACAAAACAAAACAAAACAACACAACACAACACAACTAAGGGTTAGTACTACACAGCACAAGATTCCCTTTCAGAGAATGCCTTTGTCTCTCTTACCAAAAAACAGCAAGGGAATGGGAGCTTCCTACAAGTCCAACTACTTCACGGTCCTTCCCGAAGGATGATTCTTTTATATAACAATGTTCTTGCATATATGAGGTACTACATAAAATACTTGCTAAATTGAATCTTGGTACTGAGTGGAATAACTGAAATACGAACGGGGTCATTTGGAACCATGTTGTTGTAGCCTTTTCCATTTATTTACCATAATTTGGGAAGGAATTTTCTTGGTCTTATGATGATGTATGGTCTGGCCAAAGTTTGTGGGAAAGTAAATTAATAAATGTCTTCTTTTATATCACTGCCATAATTGTGTCTACTTGTTCAGGAATATGACCCTGATGGGACAAGACAATTTTGAAGCCTAAAACATGTAGCTAAATAAATGATACATTTCTATAGAAGCCCCCAAGTGTTTTTGGTTTTGTTTTTGTAATGTCCCCTCTACTTATTCTGTCATTGAAAAAAGCAGCAGATAAAGATAAGTTAAATATCGGTAGTACTAACAAGTGCAAAATATCTCACCAATTGCTTTCTTCAATGCTTCAAAAGTGATTTCTTCAGTGTTACTAACCTAGAGAAAAGTGATTATAAGTGAAATCGAGAGTTAAAAAGGGTCAATATAAATAATACCTTTACCTAGTTACAAGTCATCTAAGAAGTTTTTCAGATTTGTTTTCTTCTTTGTGTTGATCTGAGCTGTGATTATACTCTGCAGTACCAAATAATCTCCACTTTTTCACTGGTTCTAACAATGGCCTACTGCAGTGGTTCCCCAAAACAAGTCTATAGATTAGCATTAGACTGCAATAATTAACATACCCTAGGCAACAAAACTACCCTTGAATTACAGAACTCAGTCTCCACTTCGGTGATGCACAAGAAGATTTGAGTCTCACTGACTGAACACTGTGCTGTAAGTAAACGATGCTCTGAGACAGTGAAGGCTGAGATTATATATAAATACATTTTTAGACATGTGATAAAAAACAACTAAGTACTCTACAGCCTCTATAATTTTGGTATCACACACAGTTTACAAATCAAAAGTGAAACTAAGATTTTAAACGATTGAAAAGTAAAAACCACTACTTCGGGAAGTATTTCTCTAAAGTCAATCACCAATTTATAATCTCTGAAACTATCCTTTTAACTTACGTCTTTCAAGTCTCTCTTGCTTTGAGATATGTAAAAAGGTATGAAAACAACTGCTTTAAAAAAAGGCAAAAATACATTTTATGGCATCAGCACATTTTTAGGAAAAATAATATATCTAGTTCCTATAGTATCTTTGAATAAAAATTAAGAAACGATACATGGGTACTTGCCTGGGAATCTGGTCATCCCTAATTTTAGCTCATGAGCTTCTTTTGCTAAGTCTAAGACAGCAAGACTAACGAAAGCAAAAGACTTCATTCTCTGCACCTTAGCTTCTCTGTAATACAAAGGCTTTAGCTGGAAATCAAGCAGCAAGAGTTCCACTCCCTCAGTTTTGCTACTGAGGGTTCATATTTCTAGTTGAAGTCAGATTAAACTTGGGAATCTTCAGTTGTTTTGTTCTAGATATCTGGAGCAGACATATAAGATTAGGCTCTGGCTGGTCAATTATTTGTACTTATAAGCATTCTAGTACTTCAGTGAAAAAAAGAAATTGCTTTTGTTCTTAGAACTGGCTAAGAGCTTCTGACTTTTGAGATACAACACCAGTATAGGAAAAAGAACATGGGAGAAGTCAGAAGGCCAGCATTCTTGATATATATAATTTTTACTTATTACCTGTCAATCTCAGATAAGAGCTAAAATACCTTACCCTATTAACTCTTCTCTTTTTGTCCCTGTTTGCCTTAATTCAGATAATTATGATGCAGCTTACTAGCATCAAGAGCCCCCAACTCACGCCATCAGTGTCCACCTTTTTTCTTTCTTTCTTTTTTTTTTAAACATCTCCTTTCTTTAAATCCCTTCAAGTCATTTGTTGGTCCTATTCATTCTACTTTAAAGTAGAGTATTCCTGCCCTCCGGTCCCTCTTTGTTACCTCCAGCCTGGCTACTCTAGATCCTCATTCCATCAACTGTGGACTATTACAAGGATCTCCTAACTGCCTCTACCTCCAGTCTCTTCTTTCTAATTTAGCCTTGTCACACTTGAGAGATTCTTTTTATGAAAACACATTTCTAATAATGACACTGACTAAATTTCGGTGTTTACCTACTTCCTATGAAGTTACATACAAAGCCCTCAGCCCGGCATACAACTTTCTATAATGTTCCTTCAGTCTTATCTCCCACTTGTCCCTTTCGTGAATCTTTTTTTTTTTTCTTTAAGACTAACTGCTTTATACTAGCATTTGATGATTCATGTTTTTATATACCATAGCTGGTAAATACAAGCTACACACTTTATTTGGTGATCTATCAAACTACAATCTATTCCAACTCTAGAGGAAAAACTGGTTATGTTGGAGTTATAGAGAAGTGGTGCAAAGGCACCATCTTAAAGGAATTTCAACATTCCCTTTATAATCTAGGACTTTTGCTTTATCTATGATCTACAACACTAACCTAGACTATATAATGCCCTTGGGCCTACATAAAATCTACCATTCATCTTTTTCTAATTATAGTAGTTGTTATGTCACTTCCACAAATATCATAGTAATTTGATAGCATCTAGCACCACAGTGTGACTAATATTGACTAGATGTTAGCATACACACAGTATCTCCAGTTGTATTTGGGGAAAAAAGACAGGAGTACATGGATATAAAACAAAGATCTGTTATTTGTACGAGAATAAACAACAATCTTTTGCAGTCAACCAGTGACTTAATTTTGTACCAAAAAATTTAACATATACTCAAAATTTAATATATATAACATCCTACCCATGCCCTTAAATAATCAAGCACTTACTATAAGCTTTTAGAGAGAAGAGTAGTGTGATGATTTCAGGTTTTACTCATATCAATTATGCATATATAAGGAAGCAAAAAATCATGCCTATAGTGCTTTATTCTATTAGTCAAGCTGATAATTTTATCTCGGGAGACAGAGATGCCTCTGTTCTATTTTAGTCATAATCTTCTTGAATATGTTAATTTAAATTAGGTATCGTTATAAAAATGTGTGTATGCATATATATGTATATATATGCATATATATGCGTATATATACACATGTGTATATATGTGTATGCATATATGCGTATATATATGCGTGTATGCATATATATATACACAGATATATATATGCATTGGGAAGCATTCCTCTAAAGTCAATTACCAATTTATATTCTCTAAAAATAACTTTTACCTTGAGTCTCTCAAATCTCCCTCTTGCTTTGAGATATGTAAAAGGTATAAAATCAACTGCTTTACGATAAAAGTATCAGTAATACATTTTATGCCATGAGCACATTTTTAGAAGAAATAATAATATACATCTTTTTATCTATGGCAATTTTTAGGAAAAGTTCACCAAATGATTCTCAGTAGGCCAAGGTCGGAATTGCAAATGTCAGAACTGGCACATCTCAAGTGGACCAGGTATTTCAACAGACTAGAGTTTAGGGAAACAAAAGTTTGTGATGGTCTCCATCTAAACAACCTTCTGCCTCTCTCTCTTTTTTTAAATTGTAAGTTTAAAAAGCAAAAGCAAATACATCTGAGGATAAACTAGGATTATACATACAAACTATAAATAATTTTGATCAAATAAAAAAGTTATTTTTTATGAGCAATTTTCTTATCTGATTCATTGTAAGAAAATAGTTTGATATTTTGCTGCACTATTAACTGGTAAATATCTATTTGATGTGAATTTCTTCTGTCTGTTGTATGAAAGTAATTAATTAGTTTTAGCCTAGAAGATAGTATTATTCTGTCTTCTGGTATTTGAACAAACATCTCTAATATCCAAAAGCAGATTCCACAATGGTAAATGAGTCCGAAACTCAAATGTGCTCAAGTAAATGTGATACTAAACTGTACTTAACTTTTCAGATGCTTGGTGTGAGGCATATTTGACTTAGGACTTATAGTAAATGAAAAACAACAGGATCTTGTAAGAGTTAATAAAAATATTAACGGACTTTTAATGTAAGATTTGTGACAAGAATCTTTCCCCTACACTGGGTCTTTATGCAAATGTTTTTTCAGTTGATTTTATCAAAATAGACTGACTCTTTCCAACAGTTTCAAGTGTTCTCCATATATTTTTGAAAAAAATAAGAATAGTTAACAAAAGGAGAAAGGTGAAAATAGCAGTCAATAACATATAGTGTACTCTTAACAAAATTAAGTTTATAAACTAAGACTTTGGATGAACTTCTTCCCTAGAAAGGTAATAGCGACAAATTCATAATCATTAAAAGGACAGAACTAGCAAGATACTGTTCTTACTAGTAAGGGGTGTATAAATTAAATAGCTCTGAAGAAAGAGGTGAATTTAGGCAAGGTGGTTATTAAGCCTTAAATTGGTAAGAAACTTTAGCTTTAAGGCGTCGAGTTTCAAAATGAACACTAAATGCTGCTTCAACTACTCTTGATGCCGTGCTGATAATTTCTTAATAAAACTGATAACTTCTATGTAATGGGGAGTTGAATGGCATAGAAAACATAAGTCAGTTGGCTGTACTCTGGCCACCAAATAGGTTTAGTACCTGAAGACAAATAAATCAATAGGAATTGGAAGGGGGTAGGAGGGAGGCTTGAGAAAGCATAAATTCAGATAACTTCCTTTCCCTTTCCCTATAGGGATATTCTTTTAATTATGCATATTGTACCAATGAGAAATAAATACTTAAGAAGGCAGACAATGGATAAACCACAAGGTGAAGGTTGACTTGACATGCTGGCATTTTGGCATTTTTACTTGACTATGAAAAAATTCTCTGGTGGTTTGTGTCGAATAAGTCCTAGAGAATACTGGCTGTTTTTTCCCCTATTAACTCAGGAGGGTACGCTCTTGTGCTCTTCTGAAACGGGAGAAGAGCATGAAATCTATGTTTTAAATAAGCCACAGTCCTTACAGAGTACATAGCTCACTAACGCAGCTTAAACTACATCCTTACTATCCAAAATAATTAAAACATTTTACCTTAGAGATGAACTTTTAAAACTTTTTAAAGGTAGTGAGCATTTGGCTTCACATGAGGATGTATAATTATATTTATTTCTGTAATTTGCATTTCCTAAATTTTTAAAAATAAGTAGGATCTAGACAGCCCACTAATTTAATGACAGGCTTTGTATAAAGTTTCTTACAAAAAAAAAAAATCTTTTACACTAAATTATAATGTGAAATCTGACAACATCGTAACATATAATGTTAGCTTTATATATCTTTACAGACAGCTGAAATGAGTTCAGTAAAATAAACTATAAATAAATTCAAAGCTAAATCAGATTAATTTCTACTAATAGTTTAGTTGATTTGAGGATAATTTAGAGTTGTATTTTCTCCTGTTTGAAAGTGTGGAAGGCAAAAAATTCTTTTAAATGATGTCTACCAAGACAGTACTCTACCATAAACTTTCAGTAACTTACCACATCATCAGAAGGAACATTGTTGGATAAAATATCCACCTGAATGGATACGGTGTCCACAATGCTTTTTCTTCTAGAAAGTCGATCTTCATCTGAAATAAAGTTGTTTTCCTCCCATTATTTGTTAGAAATGTTATGTTGGTTTTCATTTATAAACTCTACTTATCTCAGATTTCAAAAACTGTCAAAAAATTAAGACAGTTTGTCTTTTTTGTTCCTTCTAAATACATAAAGCAGTGTGTTCTTGGACTTTTACATTTCGTGAAGCAGATTAAAAAGTAAAATTGATGGGGTGAACTGAAATAAGGTTATCAGATTTTTATTTTTCAAAAAGGGGCATTTAGGACAGCAACAACCACCACCACTACTGAATAGTTTAAGAAAGCAAGTCAGTGTAACAGCAAACAAAGGAAGTACATAATCTAAACTTAGTACATTTATCCTAACTCAAAACTGACAATATTAATATTGCCCTTATCTCTCTAATATTTTCACCAAACAGTGAAAGCTGTCAACTAACTCTGGTTCTAGGATGACAGTTTGGGAAGCAATGTTTAAAGGTGTTTACAGTGCATTACAATTTGTGGACTGAAAGCAATTGCTGTTTCAATTAGTATCTCCTCCAGCATTGTCCGTTCAGTCATCTCCATCAGCTGTTGTTATTTTGCTTTATAACTGATCACTTCTCCAGAAAGATGTTGCCTTTACCTCAGTGCTCTAGCTAATCTACTTTTCTGCCTCCAATTCATTTGTACAGTCTGAACAAATTGCTCTGATTTTTCACTACTGACTATGCCGAAGTCCCGTAATTATAATCCCAACCCCAACCACTCTTCTGACAGCGCTCTTAAATAAAATTCCACGGTCTCCCAAATCACTAAATTCAAAAGCTAGTCCTAGCCCATTTTCTGCTTAACCACTTTATGAACATTTGAATTTGTTGATCATAATGTCCTTACATACATTCTTTTCTACTTCTGTTTTTCTACTTTAGCATTCAATACTCATCAAATCTAGGAAATGATTAGAGACCCTGTTAGGTGTTACGGACAGTCTGCTGAATAGATATTACACACCCCGTGCAGCTTCCAGTTTAACAGGAAAAATATACAATAAAATCACACAAATTATTAAAGTATGATGGAGAGTACAGGATGCTAGGAAAATATCAAATAATCATGATTATAACCGAAAAAAGGAAGTCACTTTGTGTATTCCAATATATAGAATTAGAGGCTTATTCAACCCTTGGAAAGCTGAGTGAGTAAAAGTTAGGCTAGCCATCGGATATTCTCAGTCTGCAGCATGGAGACGGTAATTCTCAAGAAGCTTCTGGAAGCTGCTAGTCCGATATCCACCCATTTGAATGCTACACTGTCTTTTAAAGATAACAGTTTCTCCTCTTCTACTTGCAGATTGTTCTGAGCGCTTTTCATTGTCAGTCTCTGATTCTGAAAAAACATAGTTCCCAATTTTTCCTTTACGACGCAGAAGAGAATTCAGGAAGGGTGACAATGATGCCAAGTTGGCTACTGTTCTACTCCCAGTCCTAAAAGGAATGTACTCACCCAGGTCACATCCCAGGACCTCTAACTCTCTCAGAGAGTTCCCAGGTACTATTAGGGTCGCAGCTGGCACCCAGTAGGTGATCTACAAATACTTGTGTGACTGAGCAGGATTCTGGCGCCTCCTTTTCTGAGTTCAACATTTCCAATTTCTTATTAATCAATTCTATTTGACATGTTCTAAATCCAATTCCACATCTCTAAATAAACCATCTTTATCTCCACATTGTCCTATTTATTTTCAGGAGTGCCATCTTTCAAAATCTTCATCTTTTCTTACCTAAACTCTTAGGATAGCTTTCCAGTGGGTCTTCCTAGTATGTTTCTCCCTTCTGTACTACCAATAGAGTTGTTTCAAAAACAGATTATTTTCAGTCCTAATTAGAATTGTTAAACAAATGCAGCCCACTGCTTAATGCCGAGTTCCCAAGGGTTTCTACCTCACTGCACATATTAAATTATAATGCATGCATGGTACACAGAGATAAGTGGAAGGGCCTGCTCATATTGCAGACTCAGACTGCCCCAGGCCCTCTCCAGCTACCTGAAGAGCAAAGGAGAACAATACCCAGACACACCTATAAAGTTCCCCCAAAACAGTAGGGAAGTTCAGGTCTAGAATCAGCCTAACAGCACAGAATTACTGCATCATCTGGCAACACTTCATTGTTCTTTTTCTTCCTGAGACAGTGTCTCTTCTCTGTCACCCTGGCTGGAGTACAGCGGTGTGATCAAAGCTCATTACAGCCTCAAACTCCTGGGCTCGGGTGATTCTCCCACTTTAGCCTCCCGAGTAGTCGGGACTACAGGCACGTGCCACCATGCCCGGTTAATTTTTTTAAACTTTTAAGTTCAGGGGTACACGCGCAGATTTGTTATACACATAAATTTGTGTCATGGGGGTTTGTTGTACAGGTTATTTCATCACCCACATATTAAGTCTAGTATCCATTAGTTGTTTTCTGGAAGCTCTCCCTTCTCCCATCCTCCACCCTTCAACAGGTCCCAGTGTGTACTGTTCCCCTCTATGTGTCTGTGTGTTCTCATCATTTAGCTCCCACTTACAAGTGAGAACATGTGGTATTTAATTTTCTGTTCCTGTGTTGGTTTGCACACGTGTATGTTCATTGCAGCACTATTCACAACAGCAAAGACATGGAATCAACCGGCTAAATTTTTTGTTTTAACTTTTTGTAGAGACGGGGTATTTTTTTTTTTTCTCAAGCTGGTCTCGAACTCTTGGCTTCAAGCAATCCTCCTACCTTGGTCTCCCAAAGTGCCAGGATTACAGGTGTGAGCCACTGTGCCCAGCCTATGCTCCATCTTTCTAATTCCATTCTGTATATACTGTGATTTTACTTTACTAAAGAAGCAAAGATTGACGAATTAAAAGCAATCAGCAAGAAACTGGTTTCTCTCTTACTGACTACTCCTCTACTCCCAGGTAGCCTTCCATGGTTGTAACTAATGCTGTTAGTCAATATTACAGTTTGCCCTTTCTGGGGATGTGACAGGATTGCAATTCCTGTCCTCTCTGTGGTTAGGAGGGGTTCTGTAATAAGTCCTGGCCAATACAGTATGAGTAACGTACCAGACAGTGGTAGCTCCATCAGCTTGAATTCCAGAATGTGGATGATGCATAGTTATGTACAGCAAGTCTGAGCAATAAATAAATCTTTACTGTTTCAAACCATTAAGAACTTGGGGTTGTTTGCTACTATAGCATAACCTAGCTAGGGTTTCTTAACCTTGACACTATGGACATTTTGGGCCAGATAACCCTTGTTGTGGGAAGCTATCCCTTGTATTATAAGATGTTCAGCAGCATCCCTAGCTTCTACGCACTAGATGCCAACAGGCCTATCCCATCTCTCTCCGTCCCAGTTGTGACAACTAAAAATTTCCCCAAGATTGCAAAATTCACCCTTAGCTGAGAACCAGTAACGCAGTGCATCCTAATGGCAGACTTTTCTACAATTTTACCTGTATGTCACCACCATGTTAACTAAGCTTCTTAAAACACTAACCACATAACTCCCCAAGTTATGCTCCCCAACTGCTTGTAATTAAAAGGACATTCTAGGCTCTCTCATCAGATCTTACCAACAGTAACTTCAGCCTTCCCTAATAAATCTAGTGTTCAACTCAAAGATGCCTGTTTTCTAACCTCTGTGCATGCTGTAGGATATCTGCTTTCTAGAAACATGTCGTTATCCTGTCTTTCTTTGCCATCCTCCTCACTATAGAGATTCTTATCTTTCAAGGCCTATTTGAACATCACATCGCTTCCTTAAGTGTTAAATATTTCTCCAATTATTTCTACTTGTCCCTCTTTCTTCTGAGCTACAAAAACTTACTATCGGTTATTAATGAACTTCCCTTCCATCATCCTTCAGCCTTATACTACCGTCATGTACACTGATGTCTGACATATATATCCATGCATGAAATTCAGTGAGACTCTGGGTTTTGTATCCACCATACAAAAGTCACTCAGGTTCTACTGCATGAAGGCTGAAGGTACAGAATCAGTACATACTCAACTGCAACAAAACAGGACACATTGTTGTGCAAGAATTTTCAGGATGAGAATATTTTATATCCTGCATGTGGCTACTGCTGAGTTAACTTAGACCCTGTATTTTCTGTTTTTCCTTCATAATGATATGCTTTGATATAAGTAACTGGACATAAACACATCAATGGAATTGCCCAAGGCAGTATGCGGTCATCCCTGCTGATCTGCTTATAGCATCCAGGCACACTAACTTTCAAGGTCTCTCCGGAAGTAAAAATAAGGACTTCTCTCAAAGGAGGCTATAAAAGAATTTCTGGGTTAATTTATGAAAGCTGAGGGGTTGCAGAAAGAGAGTCATGTTGAAGCCAATAATAAAAAAAGAAAAGAGAAGTATGGGGGCCGGAAAGGGGTCCCTGAGCGGCAAAATCATTGAGAACAAAAAGGAAATAATAGTGTTGTCTCAAAGGTGATCAATAATCACCTTCCAGGAAAATCCAAAGAAAGGTCTTAATCAATTTTCTACTTCTCTGAAGCTTCAGCAATTTGTGCCAAGTTACCTTTCCCTTTTTGGAAGCTCCTCTACAGCTGCCTTCTCACCCCCCAACCTCCTAGCACCCACATTCTAACATTACCTTACTTTCCTTTCACATTCTTGAGACTTTCAGCTTTGGGGCTTTACGTTCCTTCCCAATACGGCCTCTCCTCAGGAAAAGAGAACTGTCTCAAGCCATTCCATCCTCTTTATCTCCATGCCTTCACTGTGAGAAGTCATCCTCCCTGAAGGCTTTAGCAAAATCCCCTATGTTGCTTTTTTCAAAATTTTCATTATAACCTCCTAACCCTCACACAAAACCCAGTCCTAACTCCTAACTGCCTCAAGCTACTTGCATGCTCCACTCTCAAAGATACTCAACAAGAGGATTATCTCCAAAACCAGCCACTTTTTCCTATTTATTTCTGTTAACAAAAACTCTATTCTTCTACCACCCCAGATTCAAAACTACTTATAGAGAGTTTCAGCTGAAATATGTACTTCTTTCCTTCTTCACTTGAGCCCAGCTGATATGGTTTGGCTGTGTCCCCACCCAAGTCTCAACTTGAATTGCATCTCAAGAATTCCCACCTGTTGTGGGAGGGACCCAGTGGGCGGTAACTGAATCACGAGGGTTGCTCTTTCCCACATTATTCTCGTGATAGTAAGTCTCACGAGATCTGATCGGTTTATCAGGGGTTTCTGCTTTTGCTTCTTCCTCATTCTCTCTTGCCACTGCCACGTAAGAAGTGTCTTTCACCCTCTGCTATGATTGTGAGACCTTCCCCAGCCATGTGGAACTGTAAGTCTAATTAAACCTCTTTCTTTTGTAAATTGCCCAGTCTCTGGTATGTCTCTATCAGCAGTGTGAAAACAGACTAATACACCAGCTTTATCTCTCATCCCTCTGAGAAAAACAAAACATACACAAAAAAACAAGCAAATGAAATGGTAAGTAAATCCTATGTGTCCCCTCAGTTTTACACCATCCACTCAAGCGCCCAAGCCAGAAACCTGGACAAAATCCCTGGCTTTCTCCTTGTCTCACCATACCAATCAATATTCTCACTGATGCCTCTTTATTATGGGCCACTGTCATTTCTCCTAAGGATGACTAACATGCCATCAAAATAAATAGTCACCCCATCCCCAGTTTGCAAAATTACAACCAAAGTACTATTTCTAAAATGCAACTCTGATCATGTTATCCTCTGATTAAAATCACTCATGCTTCTCCACTGCCTTCAGAACAGAGTTTAAACTAGTTCACCTTGCTTTACAATTCCTACCTCTGCTCCCTGAAGTCTGTCGTCACTCTGTGTTAATTCACAGAACAAATCCTGTTCTTGCCTACCTCATTCCTTCACACATGTTGTTACTACCATATGAAGCACAGTTCACTTGCCTAACACCTGTTTCAAGCTCAGCTTAGAGGCTTTTTCCTCTGGAAGACATCCCTGGCCCGCCAAACCTGGATTAAATATTTTTACCTGCTATTGGAGGACCCAAAATGTCCCTAATCATAGCCGTATAGTCATATTACAATTGCCTGGTTATTTATCTTCTTAGAGAAAAATTATATAATGAAATTAACTTATTTCCTATGCACCTAGAATAATACCAATCATCTGCTGTGTTTTGTGGTTCAAGTAAACAATACATTTAAGAGAGACTGTGAGCTCTGTGAAAGTAGAGACCTACCTGTCTTGTTCATTCTGGCTTTTGCTTGCACAGCAGCTGGCACACTGGAGGTGCTCACTTAATATTTAAATAACTGTATGAGTTGACTGAAGCCACTGATACCTCTGAATGATTCAGATGGGGGACACTACTGTTTTCATAAAGCAGTACTTGGCACAGGCCTAAACATACACTATTCATTTGAATTCTAGGTTGATTAAAGTAAAATACAATAATCTGCTAACATTTATCAACCACATTATTAGGATGCCAGGCATCAATAGTTCAATAAACTTTAGGTGGATCATCATTCTTTCTCTAGATCCAGTTATCATTGTGTTTCAATCATTCATCTGCTTTTCCCACTAGATTGTATTCCTAGAGGATAAGAATTGCATCTTAACATCTTGCTACCCTATGAAAGTCATAACAGTGCCTGATATATATTAAATTGCAGGTACCCAGTAGAAGTTAGAGAAATAAATGATAAAAATCAATCTGGATCTTTCTGGATGCGTGAACAATACTTGAGCCCCTGAAAAATAGTGAAATCAAATAATTTATTAAGCAACTAACTGGAGAGGCTGGTAGTGGTGTCACCTAATCATTTAATTCAATTTTAGCCTCACTATCCTCATTTGTAAACAAAGATAATGCTACCTTCCTCACCAAACCATTATGAGAATTACATAAGAAAATGAATACAAAGCACTTATCACAGTGCCTAGCACACAGTGCATAATACATGGTAGCTACTATTGTGATGATGATGGGTATTGCATGATACACAACAAACTAAATATGTTCTGCCTTTTATTTTAATACATTGTTCTTAAATCCCTTCAAGTTTTTAAATGAATTATCTGATGGTTACATAGCAAAAGGTAATTTAATTACAGATTCAGTATCCCATAAAATATCACTGTTTATTCTGTTTCTGCATTAAGGTAGGATACTCATGCCACAGACAGGTTCTAAACTATCAGTCTTTACAAATCAGAAAAATCTAGGATTTCTATGCAGTTATATAATTAAGTAGACACTAAAACATTCAGAATTCTTTCAGTCATTGGCAGAGATGCATTATGAGAGAATACATCTTTTTTAGGGGTGGGAGGAATCAGGGAAGTGCAGACCATTTGTTAAAAATTTTAAAAGTACCAGAGCTGTCATTAAAAATTGTTAAGAGTTAAAGGAACAGGGTAAAGAGAAATAACAGGGGTAAAAATAAACTATGGCTATAAGGAAGATAAAGGAAAATAATAATTAAACTAATTACAGAAAATATGCAGGCCACTGGCCCCATTTTCTAAAAGGCACATTTTATTAAGCTATTTTCCTAGAGGACAGGTGAGGGAAAGGGCAGGCCAAACTGACAACTGGATTTACCTTTGTGCTTGTGCCTGGGTTTAAGAGGTTTTTTGCTTGAAGGAAAGAGAGCTAAATTCAAATTATAAGAGTTAAAATATTTTAAATTTTTAAAAAATCTTTTAAATTATAAAGCTCTAATAATGTTTTATTCTTAGCACTTTTATTTCCTCAAGGAGTTCCTGAGGAACACAATCTTTTATAGCATAAAATTAAAAAGAAAACGCAAAAGCACTCATTAACATCTCAGACTGTTATGAACAATTATTACTGTACTAAATGTATGTATTTTGGATCCATGTTGTTTAAAAAAAGCCATTTACAAAGACTGCGCTACTTGTAGTGACTAATCCAGAAATCTTTCTAAGTGAAATCAAATGGTTCTCTTGTAGAACAGAGGTATCCCCAAAGAAAGAACTAACTCACAAAATCTACTTATATAGTCACCAAATGAAAATGAAAGCATAAGACATAAATTCTTTGATTTTAATTTTTACAGTAAAGGTTGAATACAAGACACTATGCAATTTTACCTTCAAACAGAATTATTTCAGGCAATGGGAAGAATAGAAGGGACTATATAGGTCACAGAGAAAAAAAAATCCCTAACTCAAAAAGTTTGTAGTTTTATTTATATAACAACAGTCTGTACTCTTTCAAATAACAAAAGTTGTCTAATTCATTAACCTCAATAATCACTTATCATTAAACAATTTTCATCAATTTCCATAACTTAAATAGAATATCATTTAATGAGAAAAGATCTCACTTTAAAATATACTATTAAATAAAATATTAAGTATTATAACAATAAATATTCAAGGACTTGATTTGCTCATGGTAAAATCATATCTATGTTGTTAGAGATTTGCTGAAGGTTTTCAATAGCAAAATTAAAAAACAGAAGTAAATACTCTTAAGCATTTGAAGATGGCTGGGCTATAGTAAGGACACACACCAGAATTAATTTTCATTGCTAACTGGGTAATGGAAAAATTACTATAACATAAGCAATCACCAGAGTGAGAGTTCTAATTATCCTCCTCTTACCTGTTACTTGCGGTACATACGGAACTGATAATCTCTCAACACTATATCCACTTCCACCTAGGGACTCTGCAATCTTGTTGGTCAGAAAGTACAAATCTTTCTCATGCTTCTCTAAAGATTTTGGAAGCCTGCCAAGTTCATCAAAGCAACAATCATTCAGTATTAAATTACTGAGCAAAAATTAGTTACTATGCAAAACATTCCAGAGCAAAAGCCTCAATATTCTAAATATAAACACAATGTAAACTGTAGTAACAGAAAAATCAGTATATTTTAGGCAACTAATTTGAGCTCTTTAAAAACACATAGTATGCAGTCCCATATATTAACCATTCTGCAGTGATTCTTCTCCCAGTAACATTCCAATAGTGAATTTAGCCTTATATTATTCTGTTGATCTTCACTTGTTAAGTAATAAAGAACACTAAATGTAGCTTTTATTGTCATGTTAACAAAAAAGTGTACTGAGAGACAAAATAAAAATGCAGCCCACTGACTGTTAATGAAAACCGTATTAGCCAGCTAAGTGTTAGGAAGTACTTGCCCACCCACATAAGGTTTCACCTTCCTTTCAAACTGCTTGATATTATCTTACTGATGCTTTCAATATAAACTGCTTTTATAGCCCAAAAGTTCACACAAAAAATTATTCATATATATACTTTTCTTTAGAGAACAAGAAATAATGCAGGAAATAACACTGATTTTCCTTAAATACATTCTTTCTTCTACAATATTTTGAGTATTGTTACCTATTACTGAACGTCTTCAACAGGATACCGTATTCTCTTAAAGGTTTGATCATTTACATATGAGAACATAAAATATGCTATATTTAAGAGAGACAGCCAACATTTTTTAAAAAGTGGGGTAGGTTTTTTTTTTTTTTGAGATGGAGTCTCCCTCTGTTGCCCAGGCTGGAGTGCAGTGGTGTGATTTTGGTTCACTGCAACCTCCGCCTCCTGGGATCAAATGATTCTCCAGCCCCAGCCTCCTGAGTAGCTGATACTACAGGCACATGACACCACGCCCAGCTAATTTTTGTATTTTTTAGTGGAGACAGGGTTTCACCATGTTGGCCAGGCTGGCCTAAAACTCCTGACCTCAGGTGATTCACCCACCTCGGCCTCCCAAAGTGCTGGGATTACAGGCGTGAGCCACTGAGCCCGGCCAAATCTTATTCTTAAAAAACTTTTTCAAGATTGACTCTATGTTGTGCATGAGTCAACATCCATAATGTGCAGGCCCTTTTATAACAAGGAAAATAATTAAATGAATTAAATGACAGACACAAAATGATGATTAGTATAAAGCACCAGGAATTACTATAACAATATTTACTCCTTTATAATTATTACTGATTGGTTTATCAAGTCAGTACCCCATCCTTAAAATGTAAAGATTAACATACATGCACTTATCTCTGAAGATATGCTCTGGTAGAAAATAAGGGGCTTCCATAGTTCGAATTTCAATAACCTGAAAAATATTCAAAAACAGAACAAAAATCAAAAATCCCACCCCTCAGGACCTTGCTATAAAAATTTGGAAAACACTTTAAAAACAAAACAACTTTAAACATTTATAAGAAATACCATCACTGTTTTTGAATTTAAGCTAAGTTTACAGCCCAAGTGTACAGTCTGTTTTGTTTTCACATTTATTATTTTTAAAATTTAACAGATAAAACTGTGACAATAAAATAATATATAAAGCAAAAAATGATGACACATTACATTTGATTAAGCCTAGTATGATAAAGCAAGAATATCTATTTTCTCAAATGCACTATTTTGTAAATCGCTTTACAAATTACCATCCTCCACCTGCCGCATTACCTTTTGCAGCCTGTGTACAAGGTCTCCAGGCACTTGTGTGGTCTAGCTCCTCCAATGAACTGTGAGTAAAGAGGTACTCTGCTTTTGTAATACTTAATTCTCTAGTGGTGGGCATCAATTATTCACTCAAATATCTGATTAATGAATGGATGAGTTTTGTTTCTTAGATTACACTAAAAGCCTACATTTTAGTAAGGACTAAACGATGTGCTTCCAGTTTAAGAAAAATAAAGTTCTCTCTTACAGACGTCTTTAAAAGTGGACTTTTTCTGCTAGGTAAGTTGGGAGCACTGTAATGTTTACTAAGTTATGCAAATAACGATGTAAGAGTTACTGCTAAAGAAAACTAAATATATTTGAAAGACATAGGACAATTCTCTGAGATGCACATTAATTATTCAACTTTTGAGATCTGCCTCAAGTAGTTTAGAATAAACAACAAAAGAGTGTAATTTAAGAAAATTTAGATACCAAGATTCATAAGGGTTCAAAGGAAAAAAGTCACAGAATAAATTACATAAGGTATTCTAGAAGAAAACCATATATTGCATTCAACCACTACATTAAACTATTATAACAACATTCATCTAAGAAAATATAAAAACAGTAGTTACAGTTTTAGCTGTAGTTTCAGTTTACTGGCTGTATATTTTTATAGAATTATCTTAATTTGATACATAATCACCAAAGTTAAAAATAATCATCATTGGAATAAAATTAGCAATTTTGTACAAAATTCAAGTTTAAGGACTTTTCTAAATACATTTACCTTGCTAACATGCTGGCAAAATGCAGGGACAGCTATCATCTGACTTACAAAGTTGAGGTATGCTGCAACCAGTGCCATGATTCCACAACGATGGAACATTGGCAAATTATCCTCATTGATAATTGCACTGTCCTTTAATGAGAAACAAACACATCAGAGAGATCAAGTTCTTATGCTCCACCAGCATTTTCTCTGATTACACTGGAAAACTGCAGGTAGTTTGGAAAGCTAACAAAAATGCCACTTTATCAGAAGTTATTTTCTAAAACAATTCTGAGAGGAAAATAAATGTTCATTTACAAGAGAGTTAAATTTTTCAACTTAAACTCTCTTCCCTAGGAAAGCCTTTCCTGTTCACACACACACGCGCGTGCACATATAGCCATTGCATACTGTCCTTCTATTACATAACACTTATGCAACTCTAATTAAACAACTGCATGTATGTCATTCTTATTTAATGACTATCCCCCCAGGGTAGGAAGTGTGGGTACAGGGGTACAGGGACTGTGTCTGTCTTCTTCATCACAGTATATCCCTATGGCCTTGAAGGATATTTAGCACACAAGTTGATGCTTATGCAACATATGTAAAAGGAATAAATGAAGAATGTGATCATAGTCTTGAGTATTTTAGATTTACAACTAGATAACTCCCTTTTAAAATTCATGTCCTTGGATAAAGGCAATACTTCAAAGATGGTGTCTGCTTTATAAAAAATGTATTCTGCAGTGAATGGTTATGAAAGCATACCTGTAAAGCAATGGCCAATCGAATGAGATCAATAACTACTTCTTCATTAGCCAGTTCAATAGTTATAAGAGCAAGAGAAGTATAAAGTAGTTCATAGTTTTTCTGAACGTTGTCTTCCTCTTTACAACCCAAATATATGTGCCGATATAGCTGTTGCCCATTCTGAGGATAAAAGACAGAGGAAAAACGTAATTTTGCTTAAAATGTAAAAAAGGCAGATTTCACATGCATACACTTTGACAGTGTAGCTATGTTATTATATAGCTTAACATGGAAATGAAATTTAAATTGATGATCAGATGGTCAAATTCCAATTATTAACATCAGTCAACATGCTAATATGTAACTACAAGCTAATGTTAAAATTGAAGACAAACCTTAAATAAAAACAATCAGTAAAAAATAGTTCCTGTGCTAACGATGAAAATGTTTTTTAATAGTAATTTGAAAAAACAAAAGCAAATTATGGATTGACTTGAGAAAAAAAGTGAAATGGATGGCAGAATCCTGAGAGATACTTTGGCAATACAGCCTCAGCAATGATAAAGAATATTGTGCTGAGAGGAAATGTACTCAGGCTCTCTTGACTGGGGAACAAGCCCTGTAGGTTAGCCGTACAGAGAAGAGCATCTGCAGGTTCTGTTACATTTTGGCATGGAGTCTCTGAAGGCAAGTCTATTAACAGGGAAGAGGTTACAGAAACTCCCCAGGTATTGCATAGAGGCTTCCCCTAAACTGGACTGATCTAAGTAAAGATCATTACAATAAAGATTTATTATTTATTATTATAATAAGAGATTATTAAAGCCTTTCCTTTCTAAAGCATTCCTGGATATAGGTGCAATGCCATTTCCAGTCACAGTGGCGACATTAACTCAATTAGCTCTCAACCCTAACTGTCCACTGGAATCACTGGACGACTGGAATGACCACCATGCTCTTGCCCTCCCCACTTCTCACTACTGTCCACCCTCCTTTAATATCATGTAACTGGTCAGTGGCAGAGTATCAGTATTTTTCAAGTATAAAGCTACCCATGTGGTTATAATGTGCAGGCAGGGTTAAGAACACTCATTTTTCCCATGTGGAGAGACTTCAGGCTTAATATTCCAAGCCTGTTTCTCAGAAGGTTCTTCGGATCATTTTAGGAAAAGAAACTCGGCAAGAGCAGCACAGACTCTTCTGAAGCCAGCCTGCCTGTAACAAGCATGCATTCTGCTCTGTTCTCTATTTAATATGCACTAAGGTCCCATCTCAGTAAGGTGGCCTGTAGTTCTCCAGCTGTGACAATGACTGACTGGTTAAGTCTGCATAAATCTGTGGTACAGTGTTAGCCTTTTTTGGCTACAGATATAAAGCTACCCTCCAGATTGCTTTATTTCTGAAGTTGTTATTTTGGTTTCCACCTTTCTGAATCCAGAGTTTGCCTCTCTCATTCTTTCTCTCTCTCAAACACATATGGTTTCTATACTTGGGTGGGGAAAAGAAAACTTTATGTATTGGGTCCTCTCAAAACCTAAGAATATTCTTGAATTCTATGGTTCTAAACATTACTAACAAATATTAAAGTGGTGCATACATATGTGAGAATTTAGACTTCAGGTTCCTTAAGTAATAAGTTTGTTTTTAAAAATTACCTACTACATACCATATTAGATGAAATAAAAAATTTGTAATATGTAATGTAAAAATACAAATAGGTATAATGACTTTACAAACTGGTATGGCATTATCCAGTGAATCTGAAAAATACATAACCTATTACTCAGCAATTCCTCTCCTACAGGCCTTGGAGAAATGGGAGTTATAATACACAGCATAACACATGTACGAGCATGTTCACAGGAGCACAGTTCATAACACTCACTAACTGGAAACAATTCAAATGTGTGCCAACAAAAGAAAACTTGTGGTATATTCATATCATGGAATACTATTAAAGCCACACACGGATGAATTTTACCAAAATAGAGCTGAATAAAAAAACTAAACTTAAAAGAATACACAATGTATGGTTCCTTTCACCCAAATAACAAAAACTGGCAAAACTAAACAACATAGTTCAAGGACGTAATGTATATTAGGTTATCAAACTGTAAAAAAAACTCGAAGGAGTCAGTTTCCATCAAAGTCAGAGCAATGATAGTGATTACTTGTAGGAGAGAGGATGGAGTTATGAAGAAGACAGAACATGTGGGATGCTTTTGTTTATACTGTTGTTCACCTTAAAACAATTAAAGTAATAATTTCCGTATATTTTATATTTCATAATAAAAAGTACTCTTTTCTACATAATTCCTAGATTTGGTGAAAGATTAACAAGAGCCCTTTCACATGGTGAGAAACTATATACTATATACTGAGTTGCAGACTCAGTGGTGGCCGCTGTTTTCTCTGGAAGAATACACTTCATTAGGAAATTACAGGTGAAGTGATACCTCCCAATGTATAAGGGATTCCAGCCCTGGAACCATTTTTCAAACAGACTCCGTACATAAGACGTCCCTAAAACATTCAGATGGAGTCGTTTTAGGCTGGGTAGTAATCTCAGACACAGTTGCCTGAACAAACAATGTTAACACAGAAAATATACTGTCTATGCTAAACTAAGATTCTCTTAACTAAAGGCCAGTCCATTATCCTGTGGCTACAGAACCCTTTTTTTTTTTCTTTAGTTCTTTGCAGAAACTTCTCTCAGTTGCTAGTTTTCATATGGAAATCAAACAACATTTTTACTGATAAAACAAATTGGAAGGTAAATGAAAAATGGTGTCAAATTATAAAAATAAAATTTTGACAAAGGAAAAAAAGTGTGAACACATTGCTTCTAAAGAGAAAGACCCAAAAAGGAATGGTTTACATTAATGATAACAAATGCTTAGCAAGGAAAGTTATTCTGAATTGTAAAACAGAGGAATAACTAATTCAGAGAACAGTTTAAAGATTCAAAATCTAACATGAATAACAGTCTAATCTTGCTGTTAAATTACAGCCTTCTAAATTGGTTGACTAGCAAAATAAACAGCAGAAGTATTATTTCTATAACTCATAACGGATAAAATGAAATCCAGTCTCAATGTCCATGACTGTTTAATGTCATTGTATAAAGTCAATAACTCAAAAATCAGTTATCAATTGAGTTTTCAAAATTCATTATATCAGTAATGATTAAAAATTCCTCAGTATGGAATCAGCCTAAGTGTCCATCAACAGATGAATG